AGATGGACTGGCATCTATGGCTTCCAGAAAGTCTGGCGCAGTGCTGTGTGTGAAGCCACGCAGGGCTGGAGAGCACCAGACAGGAAGCTGTGGGCAGTATGTGCAGACACGTTTTCTGGACAGGTAGAATAACAAGCAGTGTTTGCCCAGAATCTCCAGCTCTGAAATCTGCAGCTTGGGGAGCATCTGTGGAGTGGTTTCAGCTAAATTACTTCATTTGAGTCTCATGGCAAGTCTCTGGGAGTAGGTAGTGTGTGCCTCCTTAAAAATAAAGGATCTGGGGCTCAGGTGAAATGCTGTTAAATTATTGGCCAGGGAATAATGCTGGTAAATGGGACAGGTGGGATTTCCAGGGAGGTGGCCTCACACCCAGGCTGGGGTTCTTTCTCCTCTGTTAGCTCCTTGGAAGAGGAGGAGGTTAAAAAGGGGGTCTGATAGTTCAGCACTTACAAGCAAAGGGAATTCAATTCCAAAATTTCTAAGAAATTCCAATGTTGCTTTTGACTCAGCAACAAAATTTGGGAACCACTAGTCTATACATTTGTAAGTACATATAATAATTTCCCCTGAGGTTTGAAATAATGCCTCATTTGAAAAATATTTTTAATTGAATTATTTTGAATAGGAAAGACATCACTTGGTATTTGGTCCCCTTCCCTTTAACACAAAAGGTGGTGTGTACGATACTCTATTGCGTGCTGCCCCTCCCCCCTGCCATTTAATTATATTTTGGAGACTTTTTTCTGTCTTTTTTTTTTTAATGGTTGCATGGTAAGCCATTGTGTGTATATCTCTTACCATTGTGCACTTAATTTGTTTTCAGTCTTTTGTCTCACAATGTCACAGTCACCTTGAACACAGGTCATTGTATATGTGGGTGAGTGTATCAGAGGGGATAATTCCTAGCCACTGTCTTCAACTATTTCCTTATATTGACTCACTCCTTGCATCAGTCCGTGAAGTAGCCAGTAGCATATTATCCTTGTTTTACAGACAGGAAACTGAGACTCAGAGAGGGTTGGGACCTGCCTAAAGTCATACCCCAGAGAGGAGGAGAGCCAGAATTGACACGTAGCTAAGCAAGCTGACTCTAGAGGAATTCCCTCACTTTTTGATGCTGCCTTTCTTGGTAAATTCACAGAAGTGACATTGTTGTGTCGAATGCCCTATGTACATGAAATTTGAATAGATGTTGCTTGCACAATTTGCACTTCCATAAGTAGGATGTGAGAGAGATGTGGCCCCATACTGCACTGTCAGAGGGTTTTCTCAAACTGGATTTTGGTAGTCTGGTAAATGGACAGTGACATATTAGTACAGTCTTTGCATTTCTCTCAAGGGGGTGGATAAGCATCATTTCTCATGTTTATGAGAGGCATTTGTATTCTTTTTCTGTACCTGCGTAGTTGATATCCTTTCTTGTTTGTGTTTGGGGACCTTGGTCTTTCTCTCACCCATTTTTCTTAGCACTCTATGTCACACAGTGACTTGTTCTTTTTTTCAATTTTGAGTTGCAAAAAAATTTCCCACCTGTCAATTGTCTTTTGACTTGGCTTTCAGTGTTTTTTGGCCACAGTGAAGTTTTTTTTATGGTTTCTTGATGTCATTTATAATCTACAGGAAATATTGCTAACATTTTATGGTAAAACCTTTCTGTATATTTATTTCTTTGGAAAAAAGTAGGACAGACTACTTTTGTGTTTTTGTTTAAATGACAGTGCATTTAAGACAGATTCAGAAGAGTGCATAGAAGTAGTGATGCCAGATATTCTTTTAAATTGCATAAACCACTTGAACTCACAACTGTACATTAGATACATCTCCTGGTGTCTTTTTTCCTCATCCTTCTCTGTATAACACTTTATATTTCATATAAGATCTTGAATTAGGATAATTTCTTCTGACTAGTTGATCAATTACCGAGTGTTTATTTTGGATACTATTATAGCTGCCTTCTTCCTCCAGAGGCTGCTGCTTAACTGAATTCAAGTGTAATTGGCATTATTTTTCTATCCTGGTCAGTTTCGGGCTTGTTTATCTGGTGGTTTTATTTTACTCTGCAGTATTTTCCATTTCCCCTGCTTAAAGATAGATTTAAAGCTGTGGACCTTAAATGTAATCTTCTTTCATATTGGCCAATCTTCTTTGTTCGTCTCACAGATATTACAAATAGCATACATATTACAAACCTTCTTTGTTCATTATACAAATATTTCTGAGGTTATTCTGTATATAAGCCTGTTCTGTGCATTGTGCTAAGAGGTTTTGAGACAGTTCCTGCCTCTGGCAGATGATATTCTAGTTGGGGGGTGTGGCGGGGGAGGGGTGGGTGGAAATAGACATCAGACAACTGATTTCACAGTTACAGAATTGAAACTGTGATATATCCTTCAAAAGATGTGTTTCTCGGAGGATATGATGGGGGGAACCAGAGCAGTTTAAGGCAGCCAATGGAGCTTCCCTGAAGTGACATGTGGGCTGTAATCCCCTGTATATCTTTTTTAGAGTTAACCATAAGGAGAATTGGTAAAAGAATGTTCTGGGCCCAGGGAAGAGGCTATGCAAAAAATTCTGAGAGTGACAGAAGTGCAGGGCAGGTTTGAGGAACTGAAAGACCAGTTGTGGTCAGAGTGAGATTGGGATGTGGCCTGAAGCTGGAAGTAGGTGTGGCCAGGTCTGACAGGGCTCTCAGTCCTGAATCTTGAATTGGACCTGCATTAGACCAGCCTTGAATTGGACTTGAATTATTCCTTGAATTTAATTTAAGGGATAATGTTGGCATATGTACTTTTAAATTAGGAATAGGTTTTTAAATTCTGGGGACCATGCCGATCTAGAACTTTCTTTAGTTGAATAAATTTGACCTGCAAAAATGGTACTTCAATCCATTCTCTCCAAAACAGTTTTCTACAATCAATCTGCCAGATCTTACTAAAGGGCATTTGGTACAACAAAACCTTCTTATCTTTGGTCATCACTTACTTGAGGCATTAAGCAAAAGAGGAGGTTTAATGTTAAGAAAGTTGACTAAGTTTCAGGAAAAAAACTAAGGTGAGTAAATGGCAATTTGTTCTAAGTAAAACACCCCTTAAAACAACAATACAAAAAAAGATGTTCCTACCTACAGGACCAAAGAGCAAGGGTCAGAGTTCAGGTCGAGGGAGTGCACTCAGCCAGCTTTTACTCTGCGTGACAAACAAATTTGGCACATACTACTGGATTTTCACTCACTGATTATCCTACATTAAATTGGCTAGACCTTTTAAAAATTTTAAAGAATGTTTGCTTTACATAGAAAGAAAGTACATTAACAGAAGAAGAGTATATAAGCGGGACAAAATAAAAAAAAAACAGGGTACACATCCATTTCAGAATAACTTTACAGCAAGCCCTTGCAAAGATGAAAATTCTATACTCAGTGATGGGCATAAATCATAGATGTGTATGCGAGAAAACATCAAGATAACGAACAGCATTAAACAATATCTCCCTATTAGTATCTTAAGAGACAAACCACACCACATTGATTTGCATAATATGTACCAGCTTTTCAGCTCGCAGGTGCAGTGGGTCCATGCTTTAAATGATCGGAGCGGAGGCGCGAATCACTAATGAGGTCGAGGAATTTGAGACCATCCTGCCACACTGAAACCTGTCTCTACTAAATAAAAATTACCAGGCGTGGAAAGTAGGCGCGTTAAACCATCAGGCTGGAGCAGGAGAACTGCTTGAACCTGGGAGATGGGGGGGGGAGGGTTCAGTGAGTTGAGATCCTAGCTGCAACAGAGAAGACTGTCAACAACAACAACAACAAAAACAACCCAACCAAGAAAGAAGACATGTGTGATGGGAAGGAAAGAACAGGTTTGGATAATATTATATTGATATCATACATCCTTCCATTTCATTCTTACCTTCAATCCTCACGGTGTGGGGTTTGCTTAACAACCAGTAATTATTTTGACCCACTAGTTTTAAAACACTAGAATGCAAAAACACATCTTAATGAAAAACTCAAA